CATACAGTACATAAGTACATATATATCCATACACAACTGTATACCCAGTCACATGACTGTACCGTACTCACAATTATAAACATAAAGACATACAGTACCGGTACATACTGAACTCTATACTACACCACTTATCACACAAGAAGCACACATATCAGGCCAGATAACACAGAAGCATATAAAAGTAAATCAAAAGTCATAAAGTAATACAGGACTAAAATCAAAAACATTCGTCTTTTTTTTATCTTTTATTTACCTTTCTTTGATGATTTATATATAGTTTAGTGGCCTTTGGAGCAAATTTTAAGAATAGGCCCCTCTAGACGCTCGGAAATGGCACTCTCGGAAGGTAAAAATGCTTTTTCAAAGCAGTGTTTCTCGACAAAATTATTGACTTCCTCCCGACGGCAGTTATGCTCCCTCGTATGCTCCCCCTCTCTTAGACACCCCTGGGGCGGATGAAGGATTTGGCGGTAGGGGGTGCGTGAGGGTCCACCTTACTGCCCCCATCATGGTTGGGGTTGAGGTAATAGACAATTTTGAGAATAGGGACCTCTCAGAACGTTGATCCAGAGTTTTAGCTCGGTTTCTAAGAATCGCTCACCCTATCGCCGACAGTCGTGTCAGTTGTGGTTCACAGACGAATCGGGGTACCTTTCCGATTGCGCAAGGCAGCTAGCAATGCACCCTGATTCATCTGTGTCTGCAATGCATTCGGGGAAGTTGAACCAGGTTCAACCTTCATGATAACGTCGGCAACTGTCGCCGATAGGGTGAACGATTATATGGAAACCGAGCTTTACCCTGACTATCGCACATAATGGGTTCCCTGAGTGGGCGGGGTCATGGGAGGAAAACCTAATGTTTGCTTGTTCCGTCGCTGGAAGATTATTTTTGACGTTGGGGGTGGGGGTGGTTTGCAGTTAGTCTTGGGGTTCTCCTAGCTTTGCAGAGTTTTGTTTTTTTCTAGATGCTGAGAAATGCACTTACGTGCATTACGAGACTTCTATTGATGAATGAATACACACTGAATTAATATATTTCCCCCATTTTTGCAAATAATAATTGCGATGATGAAGGTGATGATGATGATAATGTGATGATGATAAGGAGGAGAAGGCATTGTAGTAGGTGACGACAGGCTCCTGTGCAAGGTTAATTAACATGCCCTTTGATATGAGTGTCAACCGAGGGTCGTATCCCGAGTTCGTCATCACATTTTCAATGCACACAATTGGACAGCAGTAATTATCTATAAGTTATATAATCAGTACATTCTCGACTGTCATGAAAATATATATCTAAAAAATTACGTTATATGCATGCTCGGAAGCGGAAATTTTAACCAAAAAGTTTGATATAGGCCCCATGTTTCATGTTGTTTGTTGAATGGTCTTTAGTGATATTATATTCTAATATGACCACAACATAAGGAAAAATCATAAGGAAGTCCGCTCTATTTCCAAATTTCAGGAAATTGTACGTTTTATGCATGCTTCGACGTGGGAATTTTGTTTTATGTTGTTTGCTGAATGGTCTTCTTTAAAAATATAACAGTCTAATATGACCACAACACAAGGAAGTTCATTCGTTAAATGTTTGGTAGATAGTACAGAGAATTCAAAATTAGTGAGTGGTAAAATAATCGAGCTCTCCTTTCGCCCTCTGCTGGATCCGTCACTGAACTCATGGGTACACTTCGTTTTTTCCCTCTTTCTTTCTTCCCTTTAACTCTTCTCAATTTTTTTTTTTATTTTTCGGCGTGACTGACAGGGTGGGGGGAACGGGCCCCCGTGGCCCCCCGCTGGATCCGCGCCTGAAACTACCTAGGCATATAGGTTGGCAAATCAGACAAACTATGCTTAGACCAACTAGCCTTCAATTAAATAAAATTATACAAACTGCTTTTGGTTCAATGTCGTAATAATGTATTTACGAAAGTGCGTTCTACGCAATATTGTTGGAATATAATAATATATTGCTTATGTCTTTGATTTTTTTTCTCTATATAATGGCCTAAAGAATGAGATAAAATTACCTGATCTTTTTCAAGAGGAGAAAACCTTGAATTTTGAAGAACTTAAAGGTCATTAAAAACTCCTCAGAAGTCGGGAAAGCTCATTTCCGGCCATCTAGGAAGTTCCTGAGGACCCCTTTTAATGTTGGGTTTGTTTTTTTTTAAAGACATTTTAAACTATCCTTTTTCATATCCTGGATCCACCCCTGGCTAGAGTGCATTTCCCTTGTATTTCGAAATTGTTTATAAGTACACAATATGCTTTAACCAACACATCGTTAATCAGGGATGCAAGATGACACTGTGTATAAGCAATTGATAAACTTAACATTTACTCGTGAATTGCTAGGTACAAA